CCCCCTCCCGAACCCCCTGCCTCAACCGGCACCCCCTTTCATATTCCGACTCCCTGAGCCCCCTCCTGCACCCCAAACCTCTCACCCCTCCTGCACCCCAAACCCCTCCTGCACCCCAAACCCCTCACCCCTCCTGCCCAATCCCCTGCCTCAACCGGCACCCCCTTTTGTATTCCGACTCCCTGAGCCCCCTCCTGCACCTCAAACCCATCATCCCTGGCCCCACCCGAGCCTGCACTCCTAGCCAGAGCCCTTACCCCCTGCATCCCAACCCCCTTCCCCAGCCCTGAACCCCCTCCCACACTCAGAACCCCTTTCACCACACCCCCACCACAATAATTGGTATGTGCACCAACATGGGGACATGTCACGTCGCGCCGCACGTCCCCTCCCCCTTGGTGCACATAAAATTCATTGCGCTCCAGGTATGAAAAGTTCGAGGGAACTCTGGCGCTGACTAGTTTTCTTCTGGGTTTCTACCTTATTGTCTCCAGCACGAGGCACGGGAGGGCTGTTCCGTCTCCCCCCAGATGAACCCTCTCTTACTTCAGGGTGCTGCGTGCACAGCAAAGGTTAAGAGGAAATCAAAGTCGATGGCAAACCCTCGATTTATTTCCCAGCCATGCTCAGAATAAGCATGGCGCGCAGGCAGCGGGAAGGGCTTCTTCGCCACTGCTTATTAGCATTAGGAACGCTCTAATTAACGTGTCTAATCGCGGGAATGATGGAGAGAGCGTATCAGGGGAGTTCAAAACTGTGCTCTGGTGCAGCTGAGGACTGCTGCCGTACAGGCGCTGAAGCCAGAGCCCCTGCCAGGATGCAGCCCCAGGGAGCTAGGGGAGCAGAGACGAGGGCTGGGTAGGACTCTGCCGCCCCGGGATGGCTTGGGAAGAGGAGAACGAGCCCTCACACTGGGATGGAAGCGACTAGTCGACTATCCGATAAGCAAAAGCTCATCAGGCAGCCTAGTCCCGCCCCCCTTGCTGCTGGGGAGACCAGGAGCTGGTGCTGGGGGAGCCGGCTTAAAAGCCATTTCCCCCCTGCACCGTCTCCGCGGGGGCAGGGCAGCGGGGACCGGGCACGAGTGGGAGTCCCCGGCTCGTGTCCAGTCCCAGACGGAGCCCGAGTCAGGCCTGCTCTCGCGCCAGGGCCCTGCTGCCTGCTGCCCGCTAATACATCGACTAGGCAGAGCTGCAGCGGGCGGGCTCCGGGGTCGGGAGCTGACCCCGCTGTGGCTCCCCTGTGGGTGGAGAGTTCAGTGGAAAAGCCATCGCCTCGTCCATTAGCTGGTTAAGCTAAGTGGAACGTCCCTAGGCTCCACTCTGGGCAGTGCAGCCTGCTCCCAGTAGATGAGCATGTCCCCCAAATGCTGCTGCTGCCACGGGGCCCTTGGTTTGCAAGTCAGGGGCGGATGAGCCATGGGGCGGGGCGCAGGGCGCGATGGGGCCTTCTCCGCGTCCGTCACGGCCGGCGAGCCAGCACCTTTCACTGCTGCTCGCTGCGTTTTCATCAGAAATACGGTGCCTCTCGCGCCGCCCATGCCCAGGATCGCAGGCTCCCCACACTCCTCTGCCACCCCACAATATCCTCCCTCCTCCCAGATGGCACGGGCATAGGGACCAGAAACCAGGGGCTGTGGATTCAGGTCCGCAAAGCCGGGAGCAAACCCACAAGTCCTGACTCTTCGAACTGGCAGGAGGCTGAACACCCGAGTCATTCGCTGAGAGCAGCAGGACGGAGAGGAGGGGGAGGAACGTTCCTTGCTCTCCCCCTCGATCCGGGGAGGCTGCTGGCACCCAGGGCTTCTGAGGGATAGGGACCAGAAACCAGGGGCTGTGGATTCAGGTCCGCAAAGCCGGGAGCAAACCCACAAGTCCTGACTCTTCGAACTGGCAGGAGGCTGAACACCCGAGTCATTCGCTGAGAGCAGCAGGACGGAGAGGAGGGGGAGGAACGTTCCTTGCTCTCCCCCTCGATCCGGGGAGGCTGCTGGCACCCAGGGCTTCTGAGGGACTGAAAACCCCCAAACCAGGACACATTCTGGGCTGTCAGTCAAGCGACTTTTGGTGTTTTGCAGCCTTGGCAGCAGCGTGGAAAACGCGTCTTTGGCGCTCTGCTCTCCAGCCTGGCCCCTCGCTGCTCCTCTCCCTTTGTCAGCTCCTGATAGGAGCACTGCTTATTGCCCCGTCCACAGGGAGACCTGCTGGCCGTCCGCGGAGCGGCGGAGGCACAGACAACAGAGGCAGCTGTTCGTCAGCCTCGCCAGCCATCGGCTTGGGCACCAAGAGCCTGGAGTGGAGAACGAGGTGGGGGAGGGTTTGTGTCTCTTCCTAGAGGGATAAATACTGAGGGGCTCAGTCAAGCCGTCCTCAGCAAACAGCACGAGCACTGAATCTGCACGCCGCAGGGAAACCCCTCTTAGAAATACGGCTCAGGCCGAGGAGAGCACCAAGAACGATTCCAGCCTGGCTTTAAGCGGAACCCTTCCCCCACAGACCCCTCAGCGCTCTGCGGTTACCCAGCACCCTTCTTCAGGGAGCAGAGCTCGGCGCCCCTGGCCCAGCTTGGGCTGGGTTAGAAATTCGGTAGGGCCAGGGGCCCCTGATCGGCGGCCAGGCCAGCAAGCGAGCAAAGGAAGCGTCTCAGGCCCGGTGTCCTGCCAGCAAGGCCAGTGGGGGGGACCAGCTCCCCGGCCCAAGGGAGGCAGGGGGATCGCACAGCACGTCCCGTCCCAGACTCCACTGGAGAACAGAGCTGGGGACCCTTCCGGAGGCTGCCGCAGGACCACACCTTGCTCCTTACGGAGGCTTAAGGGGTTTGGGGTGGAGCTGACCAGCTCCACTTGCTGAGAGTTGCTCCTTGACCCAGATCTGAGCGGGCCACTGGGGACAGCAACACCATTTCCCTTAAATCCAGGCTGCTGAAGGAGGAGAGGAATTTCTGATAACCCAGCACCACTGGAGCGGCGGCTTCTCCTGCCCTCCCCAGCCCGCACTGCCGCCAACGAGCGCTCAGGCCCGGCAGGTGCTGAGGCCAGTGTGGAGAGTGCTCACTACTAGCCATGTTTTGGTGAGCGCGCCCGGGGCTATCCACGATGGGGGCCCTTTGTCCTGGGCGCTGTAAACAGAGCAGCAGACACCCCCGCCCCGCAAGGCAGACTTTTTAAACAGACCAGGGGAACAATTCACAGCCCAATCTGCGGGCCCGGCTCGCTCTCCTCCTCCGGCCTACTGACAACACAGAGAAACGCGCCATGGTGAGAAGTAAGATCTGACAAGCTCCATTTCCCCAAGAGCAGACGTGGCAATGGCCAAGGGACTGCAGGCCCACAATCCTTGGCCCCTAAGACGCAGCAATGGAGAAAGGCAGCGGGAGCATGTAGTGGGGGTTTTAATTAAACCAAGCTATTTATATATGTACAACCCCACCCTCCCCCCAATATTGCACCATTAAAAAAGGAGCTTTTACATCTAATTATTTGTTCACTTCCCCTTCCCTTGCCCATACTGTAGTTTGCACCAATTCACAGCAGCTGTCAGACAATTCCTCAGCCAGTCCAGTTAAGTGCGGGACAACCGGGATTCTGAGAGAGCAAAGAAATCTGCAGTCCAAGTATGTCCGGAGAGGCCTTCTCTCGGGAAGCAGCCATGGCAGTACCCAGTACTGACCTGTCCAAACGGAAGGACAAAGCCTCAGAGGCCTGGTAAACGTCTAAGCAACATGATTTCTTGAGGACTTGGTCAACACAGGTTTCTGGGGGAGCGTCTTCTGTTTCAGGCCTGGCTCTCGGGCTCACCCTTGGAAATCACAGCGCGATCCCCATCACGGCAGAGGCACGTTCCAGCATCTGCCGTGCAGCGTGAGTCAGAGGAGCTGTAATCCAAGCGGGGGCTCGTGAGCCCGCCGGACGCGCTCAGTAAGCCACGTCCCCAGGGCTGCTGAACAGCACGTGCGCTTTGGCATTGATGAAGTAGGTTGCGAGGAGCGAGAGGACCAAGATGGCGATGCCCACGACCAACGTGATGATCTACATGGGGACAAGAAAGGAAACACGTGATGGCGCGGTTACGAGCGCAGAGCAACGCGCTCACACCGGATGCAGAGCCCACCACGCTCCTGCTGTGGCCCCCAGGACAGAGATGGCCTCTGCCCAATGGCTTGCCATCTAAATCGAGAGGGAGGAAGGAATTTCAGGCCGAAACCTGCAGGGTCCATCCAGCCTTCTGTATCTCAACTGACAGCGGCAGGCACTTGGCGTCAGAGAAGCAAGTCCAGGCCTTGCATTAGGTAGACGTGGATAAACTGCTCCCCACGTTCGCTTTTCTTTCACTACCTCAGAGTTACAGGTTAGTTTAAGCTCCAAGCGTGAAGGTCACTAGCTCTTCCAAAATGTATGTTTGCATTAACTAGCATCCTCAGACACCTCAGTCCCCCCTCTGAATCCCGCCAAGTTCTTCAACTCCACAACGTCCAGTAGCAGAGAGTTCCACAGTCTAAGTGCCGTGTGAATTTTTTCCCCTTTCTTTAATTTTGAATCTGATGCATTTTCATTTCATTGAACGTCTCCTTATTCCTGAGACACGGAGAGCAGACGTTCCCTATCCACCTCTCTGTCATTTGTTATTTATACACGTATTTCCTCTCTCATCGGACACCTTCTTAAGAAAGCAGAGAAGTTAACTGATCCGTTTATTTGTTCTTCATTCCAACAGCTCAACACCAACTACTGAGCATCAACTCTTTGCCCTTGCTGAGCTTTTTATCCATTCCTAAGGTCTCATAACGGGCTGCTCTTTGGAGTCACCAGGCCTGATTCATTGATCCCCACGACTGCTGAGTACATGGCTACAGCTAACGCCCATTTCAAGGCTCCTTTACACTGTTGCGGGGTCATAAAGGCGCCTTTGTAGAACAGTGAACCCAGTTCGTTAGCTTGCTCACTTGGCTAGCTCTGCGGGTCTTGCCTGGGTATTTAAAGGCGGAGGCAGGGAGCTATTTTTGCCCCGGGTGGAGTTAAGAGCGACAATGCTGTGATACTCACTCAGTGGGTGGTTGCTTACAACCCTAGCAGCCCAGCAATTGCCCCGACATGCACGCCCGGCCCCAGGGCCACTTGCTGCTGTCACACAGGTCAGGCTGTGCATTCTCAGGTGGTTACAAACGGGCATGACATCACCAACAGCCAACCAGAGAGCCCCACGGGAGCCCCACAGCTGGAAGGGGATCTCAACCTTAACCCTTCTGTGGCTGGGGCTTAACAGCAATGTAGTCACTGGAAGCTGGCGCCAAGAATGTTGTGAACCTGACTAGCAATCGTGTAACAAACAGGCGAGTTGTGTTCGCTTGGTACCAGACCGATTTGCCTTGGAGCCCGTTTCCTTCCTAGGAGACGCACCTGGTGCTGCTCGGGTCCTTAACGCAACTGGCTTTTTAAAATGAAATGAGAATGCCCAGGCTTCATTTGAATCGCTGACGTGGGGCAGGGCTGGGGAGGAGGGTTCAGATGCAGGCTGACGGGGGGGGGGGACAGGTGAGAAGAGCCTCTCCATGGCTGCTGCAGCTCCAGAGGGCGCAGCCAGGGGAGGGGTTCAGCCTGTGGGCTGGGGCGAGTCCACGTTCATCTGCCCCCTGCACTTCCCAGCCAACTGGGCACTGGCCCCTTGCTCCCTGATGAAGGGGAATAGCTGGAACACCCCTGTACCAATGGGGGGAGGGAGCTGGGAGGCCCGGGCTGGAGCAGTCCCAGATGAAGGGGTGCCCCCAGCCAGCCGACTGGTTTTATGAAAAGCAATGCCATTGCAGGCACACCCCATTGTCTTGGCCCGACCAAACCCTGACCTGGCTTTACGTTCTGCTAAGAGGAAGCTGCCTCCCAATTTGGCGGCCCAAACTAAACTGCAAAAACAGGCGCTCAGCAGTGACGTCTGGCTTCTCCTTCTTTGTGCACCAGCACGACAGAGCCTTGGTACAGCATCACACAGAATGAATGCGGAGTTAACGGCAACATCAGAATTCGAAGTCCCACTAGCATGTCGCAGGTTTGTTTTTTCAGGCTGCCTACAGTTCCAAGGGATGCACTTCATTGTCACTTACCGCACGATTCGAAGGCCTTCCGTCCCCACCGGGGCTAGAACCGTGTTTTGAAAAGGAAGAAGAACTCAGGGAAGGACAGAATCGCTGAGTGATCAGAGCCCTGAGGACGCCTGCTGAGGCCGACAGAACACTCTGCAATTTCTACAGGGCCCCATCAGCCCTGAGGATCCCAAAGCATTTTACGCGCCTAATCCAACACACAGCACCCCCTTCAGCTCAAGCTGGGAGGGAGCTCAGAGCAGTTTCAGAGCACCTCGCCCCAGCTGTTTGGGGAGAAACTGAAGACGAATACGGTGCCTAGCTAAACCACACGGGGATCTTTGGGGAACTGAATGGAATTACCCTTGTGGAATTTTGCCAGACTATAGAATTTTGCCTTCTACCTTGCCAAGTGTCCAAGGTCCTTTATTCACCCAAACTGGAGCAAACTCGGGATCAGGCTACAGGTTCAGAAATGACTGAGGGGGAGGTGAGGAGGAGCACACCCCGGCCTTCTGTAGAGGTTATCCCAAGAGTTGAGCAAGCCCAGGCCTGCTCAGCTGGGGAGAGATTTGACAGGAAGCTGGCAGAAGGTGTCATGAAACCTGGTCCCAGCATATGTTTCAAAGCTTGCCCAGAGACACTGAAGTCAGCATGGCGCCTTGGCATCTATTCCCAGCATCGTCTTGATGAGGCTCTAAACACAACGACTCACCTCCAACTCCTTGCTGGCCACGAGAAATATGCGGGCGCGGATGTCCTTCCAGCGGCTCTCTGTCCACGTGGAGTACTCTGTGGAGCCCCACTCCTTCAGCTCGAAGGCAGGAGAGAGGGCCTTGGTCAGGTGGACAGTTGACTGGACGCAGAAGGGCACTCGCGACGTTGAGTTTGGCTCCCTGGAGCCCTGCACCCAGGTGTAATCGTACATCTGCCGAGAGAACACAGGGAAGTAAGAACAGAACCGTACAGCATCCCCCTCCCCCGGAAACTTCACTTGTTCTGGATCGTAACAGGCTTTGCTGATTACACTGCCAACATGCATTTGCTTCACCCACTGCTGAGAAGCGACCACCTCTAAGGCGGAGCATGGATGCTGTTTAACCACACACAGCAACAATGTACAACAGCTAAGGCCTGGCAGTAACAGCCCTGGGTCCAGCTGAAACTGCAGGGGAATGTTTATTGGCAGAACGTAGTTCACAAGCTAGTTTATCCAGCACCTCGGGACAGGCTCCTGTCAACGGCCTCACGAGATCTCTGATGCCCACCCGTGGCCAAGGTCTCGGCAGGAGCTAGAGACACGGTCTGGCCACAGAGCGAAGGACCGGACGCTCTCAGAGCTGGCACCCCCCTCGGACTGGATGCCCGCACTGCCAGCGCCTGTGCTGTCTGTGTGGAGTCTGGACCCAAGCTGCCCCCCCGCTGTGCTGCTTTCAAGGAGCACTCCCCTCCGACACGTCTCCCGCCTCGGGCACAGGAACGTCCTTCCTCTCCCCACGTCTCGCTCAGGACAGGAGGAGACTTTCCCACCCTGCTTTCTTCAGAGAGACGGAACGAGCCCAATTGCGCGCAGGGACGTCCGTGAAGCTCCCACCCCACCCTCATTCTGCTCCCCAGCAACTTACTTCCTTGTCGGCGCCGGGCGCTCTTTCGGGGTTCAGGCATTCCTCCTTGGTGAAATTGACCACCGTGCCCGTGAGGTTGGCCAGAACGAACTGCACTAGCTGGGTGGTGTTCACCGGGTAGGAAACCGCAATGTAGTGCTGGGGGGGCTCATCACCTGGAGAGTGCGAGCAGACAGGGTTGGCAGGGAGGAGGAAAGCCAGGGCCACGGGGCTTTAGAAAGCTCCCAGGGGACATGGGAACTAGCCCAGAATTCTTCCCACGCCCGGCTTACCCAGGAGTCCTTTCAGGTCTTGTTTAATGATGGACTGGAACCAGGAGTTGTTGGTTTTGATCAGAAATCCATAGAGCATTCGGGAGACCTGAAAGGGAGATGGGAACAGGCTCATCCCAGGCAAGAGTGGTGTCTGCCTTCAGCGGGAAGGACGTCAGAATTGACAGGCCCCAGCTGGAGAGCTGTGCCCAGGGCTGGGCACCCCACTTGGGAAAAGATGTGGACATACAAGTGAAAGTCCAGAAGACACCACCACAAAGGAGGAAAGGTCTAGAAAACGACCCATGAGGGAAGCCAGAGAACTGGGGTGTTCAGTCTGGAGAAGAGAAGACCAAGCGTGTAGAAGGTTGCTAGAAAAAAGCGACACGTTCTCTTTCCCCAGGACAGGACACGAAGCAACGGGCTTACATCACAGCAAAGCAGGTTTAGCTTAGACATTAGGAAAACCTGTGAACTGTCGGCACAGCCAAGCACTGGGACACGTTACCTGGGCAGGCTGTAGGTTTCTCCGGGTGTTTTTAAGAACAGGACAGACACACACCTGTCAGGGATGGCCTAGCTGATACTTAGCCCTGCCTCAGCGCAGGGGACTGGACAAGATGACCTGTCAAGGTCCCTTCCAGTCCTACATTTCTATGATCTAGTCGGGGTGGGCAATCATTTTTGGCCAGGACCACTTCAAAAATTTTTGAAGTAGCCTCAGGCCACCCCAGAAGGGGCGGGGCCTAAACAGGAAGGGATGGGGCTCCCCCACCCCCAGACTATGAGTGGTTTGGAGGTAGGGGAGCCCCTTTGTCCCCCCTTCCCACTAGGCACCCATGCCCTGGAAGAGGCTTGGCATGCTCCCCCACCCTCAGGCCAATCAGGGCCTGGGGAGCGCAGGAAGTCTCCTCCCACTCTGCCAGGAGCAAGTGCCACGGGTGGGCTGGGGCAGGGGGAAGGAAGCTTCACACAGCTCCCCCTCCCCCCAGGCCCTGATTGGCCTGCAGACGGGGGAGCGCACGGCGCCTCCTCCACACTCCCCCCACCCTGCGAGCAGCGCGCGGTGCTTCAAATGCCACATGCTCCTGGCAGGGCGGGAGGCGGCTTCACGCGCTCCCCCACCCCCAGGCCTTACTTGGCCTGAGGGCAGGGGAGCAGCAGAGCCCACCCCAATCTAGCAGCTAAAAGTGCAGGGCTGGGAGTCAGGACTCTGTTCCAGGTTCTGTCCCCCTCGTGGCCACGGACTTCTTGCCTGACCTCGCGTGATGCATCTGCACAGCCGCGCCCCCCGCTTCCCGGCGGGGACTCTGCACGCCAAGGGTGAGTATTGCTCTTGTTCAGCTTAACGCCTACGACGCCGGGAGCTGCTGGGAGGCACCAGAGAGGGTAAAGTGCTAGTCGTTCAGCTACAGCAGGGGAGGCAGGCACCCCGAGAGACAGACAGGCCAGCATGATGTGTAAACACACAAACAGAGACAGAAGGGAACTGCGAGAGCTCAGCATGCATGCCAAGGAGAGGATCCCATCTGCTCGTACCGTTCTTGGATCCGCCTGAATAGCAGAAGTGTTGCCGGTTCCCCCCGCAAGCTGGTACAGGGCACGGGCGACCACTGTGGCTACTTCTGCCAGGGACTGCAAGGGAAGAGGGCTCTGTGTTAATCAAGACAGGCAGGCCCAGCACAACAGGGAAGGAGAGCCGGCCATTCCTCACACATCCATCAAAGCATTTACCACACTCGGATCTGAGCGCCTGATGCCACCGGCGCAGCAGAAAGCCCCCAGGCCCCAGGAATGGGCAGCGAACCTGCCACCCAGAGGCGGATCCCCAGGCTCCACCCGCCCTGCGTGCAATGGACAGAGACCTGAGCTGTGTCCGTGACGTAGTCCAGAGTCTCCTCGGGGCTAAGCCCCTCGGGATACCGCATCAGGATGTTCTCCGCTGTGTCGTACACACTCTGGTAATATCTGAAAGAGCAAGGGAAACGGGGCTGGGGAAGGTGCGGAAAGAAGCCACAGGGCATGGAACTCAATGAAGCAGACATTGGGAGCAGTCCCCTGCCAGAGCTGGCCTCCCACGCACTCCTTAAACGATTTAATGAGGCTTTGCAAAGGTCTTTGGGCCTGGCACCACTTCTACCATCTGAGGAGTTGAATGCAATTGACAAGCTGCGATTAAACCGCAGTGTCCGGTGCCTCAGTTTCTCCATCCGTTACGTGGCTGGAGAAACTGAGGCTCAGAGTGGGGAAATGATCCACGAGGCCACAACACGTTCATGGGACCAGAACCCAGAAGTGCCGATTCCCAGTTCCTTTCTCCCAGCCAGGCCCACCGACTCCCCTGCACCCAAAGGTCCGAGAGGTTCCAAATGAACGAATGCTGGGAGACTCGCATCAAGACATCTGCAGCAGCAATGCCCAGCTGAACGGAGGCTTGAGCGAGAAGCCCAGCACGATGGTCTGCGCTTCCAGGCTGGATGGGAATGCTGACAGCGATTCCCGAGAGAGCGAGAGCTGGAGGGACGAGACGCACTGCCCTCCGCTCCAAGCCTCGCCAGCACCCAGCGCGGGGCTGCTCCACAGGCCAGGAGAAGTGGGGTGCACCGGGGAGAGCGGCAAACCTGGAAAGACAGGATGGGCAAGAGCCGCCCCGCCCCGCCCCTCCATTCCCCAGCGCCCCGGGAGAGGAGGCTCATGGGACATCCACGAGGGGGTCAGGTGGGGTGAAGGGAAGAGCCGCCCCCTGCCCGGGGCCCTGCCGCTGCTCGATTAGAACACAGCAGCTTCGGGAGGAGCAGATGAGGCACGGCACGCTCAGCTGCCATTTGCTCACCTCTGGCTCCCAGCCAGCTGCAGGGAGCGTTTCTGTACAAAACTGGATTTATTTTGCTTGTCAGCATGATTATGTCGCGCCTGGTCAATTACATGGCACGTGGCTGCTCCCCCCACCCTCTGCCCTCCATCCACCCACTGTTCCGGGGGCTGGGCTGCCCTCTGCTGGCTACCGCTGGAAATGCGTCGTTCGGCCCGTGGCGCCGGTACCTGCCCCGCAATAGTTCCGCGGGCAGGTTTGCTAGGCTTTGCGCGCGCCGCTAACCCCGCAGTGAGGAAGGCTCCAGCCACCTGGGGGCAGGGGCTGGCTGTGCCCCCCCGCCATTCCTTTTATGATGGACCAGAGGGCGTCAGGCATTTGGGTGGGCACTGGAAAATGCAAAGCGTCCCAGGACTCCTTAGCTCAGCAGGGCATGGGCCAGGCTGCCTCCGCTGGCCAGGAATCCTGGCTCTGCTCTGCGGGGTGCCTCACTTCGGCTACCACCAGGAGACCTGCCGTTCGAGGGTCTGGAAGCCAGACTACTCGGGCTACAAGCCGCTGGGGTTCCTGCCCTGTTCCGTGCCTCGCACGGCCCTTCTCTCGCGCACATTCCGCACTCCCGCTGAGCGGGGCACCGTGGCTGGGCGATGGGAAGGCAGAGGGAGAGCCCAAGTCCAGTTCCTAGCAAACAGGAGGCAGAAGAACCCGAGAGCGGCCAGACCGTCTAGCCCAGAGCCTTGGCAGTTTCAGCACAGAGGCTGACGAGCAAGTGAGTCTGGCCTCATGCCACACGGGCGGCGTGATGCAGGGTAACTGCTGTGGCTAGCAGTAATATTACAGAATACATTTTGTTTTATGCACCAAGGCATGTGTGGACGTGCACCACAGTAGACACGCCGCTGGCTGTGGGAGCCCATGCTAATCATTTCAATCTTTCCTGGGTGGCAGCCCAAGCGCTCAGCTTGCGGGGAACACTGGCCAGCCTGCAGTTTGCAGCACCGTTAAGCCCACACTGAGAACTTGTTTTGCTCCTGCAGTTTAAACCCAGGCGGGAAGAAATCACATCCCAGCTGACCCCGCCTGCCGCCCTCACACCCGCCCCGGACGCACAGGAGAGGGCGCTGCTCCCCGTACCGGTTCTGGAAGGCAGCGCGATGATCAGCCAGCACCGCCCCAGGGATGGGCCTGGCCCTCAGAAAGCGCTGGAAGGAAGAAGGCGGGAGGGGCTGCGACTGTGACACCTCCTGCAGCGTCACGTTCACACCCAGGCTGCTGTTGAGCAGCGTTTCCACCAGGGCTCTGACCTGCAAGGGGAGCGAGAGGAGTCAGGAGCGCGCTGCCGCTTACATCACAGTCCTTAGGCACAGCTGGCGCTCACGGCCGGGAGCTGAACCACTTCGGGCTGGGGTCTCACGCTACCCAAGGTCAGCGCTGGGGGGGAGAACCCAAGTGCTGCAGGAGTAGCAGTGACTCAGAGGGTCCCGCCGAGTCAGTGAGCTGGGAGCGCAGAGATACGAGGAGGGAAAACAAGGTCCTGGCCGCTCGTGACCGGGAAAGGTCTCCGGGCACTTTTCGCCCTACGGTCTGAGCAGTGTGCAGCTTCACTCTGGCTCGGTCAGTTCCCGCCTGCTGGCCACGGAGACAGGACTTTTCACTCTGCCTGAGCTGCTGCACAAGTCTGCAGCCCTGCTCGCTCGGGGTCAGAGAAGCCGGCCCAGGGGCTCAGACACAGGTCTGCAGCGCTGCTCGCTCGGCCCAGAGGGCTGCAGCTCGGGGTCAGAGAAGCCGGCCCAGGGGCTCAGACACAGGTCTGCAGCGCTGCTCGCTCGGCCCAGAGGGCTGCAGCTCGGGGTCAGAGAAGCCGGCCCAGGGGCTCAGACACAGGTCTGCAGCGCTGCTCGCTCGGCCCAGAGGGCTGCAGCTCGGGGTCAGAGAAGCCGGCCCAGGGGCTCAGACACAGGTCTGCAGCGCTGCTCGCTCGGCCCAGAGGGCTGCAGCTCGGGGTCAGAGAAGCCGGCCCAGGGGCTCAGACACAGGTCTGCAGCGCTGCTCGCTCGGCCCAGAGGGCTGCAGCTCGGGGTCAGAGAAGCCGGCCCAGGGGCTCAGACACAGGTCTGCAGCGCTGCTCGCTCGGCCCAGAGGGCTGCAGCTCGGGGTCAGAGAAGCCGGCCCAGGGGCTCAGACACAGGTCTGCAGCGCTGCTCGCTCGGCCCAGAGGGCTGCAGCTCGGGGTCAGAGAAGCCGGCCCAGGGGCTCAGACACAGGTCTGCAGCGCTGCTCGCTCGGCCCAGAGGGCTGCAGCTCGGGGTCAGAGAAGCCGGCCCAGGGGCTCAGACACAGGTCTGCAGCGCTGCTCGCTCGGCCCAGAGGGCTGCAGCTCGGGGTCAGAGAAGCCGGCCCAGGGGCTCAGACACAGGTCTGCAGCGCTGCTCGCTCGGCCCAGAGGGCTGCAGCTCGGGGTCAGAGAAGCCGGCCCAGGGGCTCAGACACAGGTCTGCAGCGCTGCTCGCTCGGCCCAGAGGGCTGCAGCTCGGGGTCAGAGAAGCCGGCCCAGGGGCTCAGACACAGGTCTGCAGCGCTGCTCGCTCGGCCCAGAGGGCTGCAGCTCGGGGTCAGAGAAGCCGGCCCAGGGGCTCAGACACAGGTCTGCAGCGCTGCTCGCTCGGCCCAGAGGGCTGCAGCTCGGGGTCAGAGAAGCCGGCCCAGGGGCTCAGACACAGGTCTGCAGCGCTGCTCGCTCGGCCCAGAGGGCTGCAGCTCGGGGTCAGAGAAGCCGGCCCAGGGGCTCAGACACAGGTCTGCAGCGCTGCTCGCTCGGCCCAGAGGGCTGCAGCTCGGGGTCAGAGAAGCCGGCCCAGGGGCTCAGACACAGGTCTGCAGCGCTGCTCGCTCGGCCCAGAGGGCTGCAGCTCGGGGTCAGAGAAGCCGGCCCAGGGGCTCAGACACAGGTCTGCAGCGCTGCTCGCTCGGCCCAGAGGGCTGCAGCTCGGGGTCAGAGAAGCCGGCCCAGGGGCTCAGACACAGGTCTGCAGCGCTGCTCGCTCGGCCCAGAGGGCTGCAGCTCGGGGTCAGAGAAGCCGGCCCAGGGGCTCAGACACAGGTCTGCAGCGCTGCTCGCTCGGCCCAGAGGGCTGCAGCTCGGGGTCAGAGAAGCCGGCCCAGGGGCTCAGACACAGGTCTGCAGCGCTGCTCGCTCGGCCCAGAGGGCTGCAGCTCGGGGTCAGAGAAGCCGGCCCAGGGGCTCAGACACAGGTCTGCAGCGCTGCTCGCTCGGCCCAGAGGGCTGCAGCTCGGGGTCAGAGAAGCCGGCCCAGGGGCTCAGACACAGGTCTGCAGCGCTGCTCGCTCGGCCCAGAGGGCTGCAGCTCGGGGTCAGAGAAGCCGGCCCAGGGGCTCAGACACAGGTCTGCAGCGCTGCTCGCTCGGCCCAGAGGGCTGCAGCTCGGGGTCAGAGAAGCCGGCCCAGGGGCTCAGACACAGGTCTGCAGCGCTGCTCGCTCGGCCCAGAGGGCTGCAGCTCGGGGTCAGAGAAGCCGGCCCAGGGGCTCAGACACAGGTCTGCAGCGCTGCTCGCTCGGCCCAGAGGGCTGCAGCTCGGGGTCAGAGAAGCCGGCCCAGGGGCTCAGACACAGGTCCGCAGCCCTGCTCGCTTGGCCCAGAGGGCTGCAGCCCAGGGGCTCCTCACACCAGGGTGCTGTTCAACATCCAGCGCGGGGGTTTGCAAACAAACGTTCCTTCTCGTGACCCGTTGAAGAAAATCGCTGACGCTACGACCAACAGAATTGGACTGGTGCGTGCCCCGGGGGGAGGGGGGTGCTGAGGATCAGAGCTGTGAGGGGGTCAGGGCTGGAGCAGGAGGGGCGGCTCCCAGGCAGCAGGGGACTAAGGCAGCTCTCTGTCTCTCCTGTCCCCGCAGGCCAGGCCGCACTCGTTCCTTCTCGTGACCCGTTGAAGAAAATCGCTGACGCTACGACCAACAGAATTGGACTGGTGCGTGCCCCGGGGGGAGGGGGGTGCTGAGGATCAGAGCTGTGAGGGGGTCAGGGCTGGAGCAGGAGGGGCGGCTCCCAGGCAGCAGGGGACTAAGGCAGCTCTCTGTCTCTCCTGTCCCCGCAGGCCAGGCCGCACTCAGCAGGCTCCCAGCCGGCGGGAGTGCACAGCAGAATCAATGGACGGAGGGAGCCATACCCCGGCCGCCTCAGCCCACAGAAGCCGCTGTGCTGCTCGGATGGGCCGGTGAGGAGGGGTGCTCCCCCGCCTGGAGGAACTGGCTTCCCCTTGGGCCTCCGTGTGCAGCTGGGAACACAGGCGCGGGCGTGGAGCGTTCCGTTACCTGCGGCCGAACAGACTCGTTCCTTCCAGAGACGGGGTCCGTGTGCACCCACAGGGCAGAGGAGTTCCGCAGCGCCACCTGCCAGAGAGCGAGCCGCCTGTCAGCGCCCTGCCTGGCGGGGTGCAGAGGGAAGCCACCGACTCCCGCCCCCCCGGGACGAGACTGAGTGGGAGG